TCAGAGAATCTAAAGGTTTTCTGTTCCCATAAATTAGGGTGAGTGTGAATGCAAAGTGGGAAGACCTGCACAGAGAACCAACCTGCGATGTGTCTGTAAGATATGCTGACTAAGCTACTACCATCAGGAGTTGTTGAGGGACAAATACAAGTGTGTGTGTGTGTGTGTGTGTGTGTGTGTGTGTGTGTGTGTGTGTGTGTGTGTGACCTTGAGAGACATCATGACAGGCCCCCATCCCTAACACAAATAAATAAATAACTTGACCAAGCCAGAAAGTCAAGCATCACTGTTTTTTTATCAGAGACTGATTCCCCCCCCCCCCCCCCCATTTGTTTTTTAGTACTGATCAGCGGGACATTTTGTAGAAGTTTTTGGATGCTGGCAGGCAGCTCTGTTTCAGATGCATGCCGTTAGAATGCTCCAGAAGCCTATCGGTGTCATCAGCGATTCTGATGGTGGGAGTTGAAGGACTAAGATCTGCTTATGTAGAACACACCTGGTGCAGAATTGTGTTATCCAGAATCTTCAGGGTGTCCCGAGGCTTACCTGATTCTATGACCACTCTGTGCCCCTGAGTGTGCCGCAGAGTCAGTAAAGCAAACTGGAACCAGGAAGAAACAAGGATGAGAGAATCATTTTTGTTTCCTAATGTGAAGGGAAATTCTCAAAGCTGCCCTTTATAAATACTCACACAACAGTTTTTTTTTTCCTAATGCTGTCTTTTCTTCAGAATACTATGTGTCTACTAATGTAGATCACTGCTGATCTCTAGCCTACCCGCTTCTGAAAAATGTTTTGGATTTTCCTTGAGTTCTACCTCCCTCTAGTAGAGGAGTTGATGAAAGTTGAATTCATTCAGATACATTTTTGTTGCTGTTTATCTGGGGTTAGTGGGAACAAGAGGAAACACAAAGGCTTGTATAATTGACAGACTAGAAATCCCCTTTTGCTGACCATTCCTGGGTCAGCTGATGACATGAGGCCTGTCGGATGTTCTTTTCTGGACCCATCCATCAGCACGTAGGACAATAATTGTAGCTAAATTGTTGAGTGGAAATGGAGAACTTTAAGCACCTTTTAATTTGTACCCCAAAGAAACATTATGTGGCCTCTTTGGAATACCTCTTTTCTGTTTCTAATGAGGAAAGCAATTATGATTTTGATGCATCTGTTATGACTTGAGTCAGCTATTAAGGGAACAGGTGCCTTGGTGATCGTGCTAATAACAGAAGTTAAAGTCTCTTGTAGGTAAACTTTTCAGTACATGGACAACAGCCCCTTCCCTTTCTCCCTGTATCCCTGCTTCCCTCCCTCTCTCCCTCCCTCCCTCCCTGCCTGCCTTCTTTTTTTTCTTTTCTTCTTTCCTAAATTAGATTCTGAGTGTCAAATAGAGATGTCTTGCACTGTCTATACTACACATTTTTATTTGGGCACACCGTTTTCCTTTGAAAATATCATTATTCCCCCTGGTTTCAAAAGATAAGAAGTTGGTTACTGATTTTGTTCATTGTCCATGGGCACTGCAACACTGGCAGTGTTTGGGTTTTGGTAAATGGGTTGAAAGTAAAGAAAAGGCAATGGAAATAGCCTGTATTATCTGGGCGAGGGGAGGGCTTGAGGATACCTGTGCCCAACAATATGAAGAGAGAGATCTGCCTGATACTTGGCACCGCCAAATTTTTTGTTTGGCAACCTATGGCTTCTGTGTAAACACCATGCCCTCTGTAGAGTTTCTCCAGTTAAATTCGTCTATGTGAACACACACACACACACACACACACACACACACACACACACACACACACACACAGCTACGAAATAGTAAGTTTTCATATGGATTTTCAGCCACCTTTAGTGTTAGTTATCCCTCCTTCCTAGCCCCTCCTCTGCTCTACCCTCCCAACCCTTTCCCCTCTAGACCTCCCTCCCTTTATTCTCTCTTTTGCCCCCACATCACATGACTTCTACTATCTCTGTTCAATAAAGATCTTTCTTCACCCACCACTAGTCCCTTTCCAGTTTCCTTGAATTCGTAGGTAGTTTGAGTTGAACACACAGATCTGAATCAATGCTAAGATCTATGTAGGAGTGAGAACATGGGATGTTTGTCTTTATGGGTTTGGATTACCTCACTCAGTATGTTTTCCACTTCTGTCCACCAGCAGCCAATAGCTAGGCAGGAGAGAGGGGATGGGTGGGGCTGCCAGACAGAGAGAATAAATCGGAGGAGAAGAAAGAGAAGAGGGAGGAGTGAGGAAAGGAGAAACAGAGGACGCCAGGGACCAGTCACACAGCCAGCCACAGAGTAGAGTAGGAAGGAAAGAAAGAAATATAGACTAGAGAAAGATAAAAGCCCAGAGGCAAAAGGTAGATGGGATAACTGAAGAAAAGCTGGCTAGAAAAAAGCCAAGCTAAGGCTGGGCATTCATAAATAAGAATAAGTCTCCATGTAATGTATTTATTTGGGAGCTGTGCAGTGGGTCCCTAAAGAGGAAAGAGTGAAAAAAACAACTACATTGATGGCTGATTCAGTTTCCTGGGTGAGCAGGGTCCTATTCAGTTTTTAGCTGAGCCTGTCACCCAAAGTATACTCCCTTTTTCCTGGAAGTTTCATAGTTTCAGCTCCAACATTTAAACCTTCGATCCACTTACAATTATTGGAATGCAGGATGAGAGAGAGGAATCAAGTTTCATTTTTATATACAGAGATATCTAGTTTCCTATGCTGTTTTTTTCTTCAGAGTATGTCTTTGGTGTTTTTTCAAGACTCAGATGGCTCTGGGTGCAAGAACTTATGATAGTAAGACCCTAATGCTGAAGACTCCACACACCTCAGTCACAGGACATGGAGAAATGAAGCTGGGTCTGACCAGGAAGCTAATGACCAGGATAACAAGATGCTATTTTGGGTACATTAGTGGCATGAATTTTATGGGGATAATCAACTACTTTCTACTTGGATTTCTGATCGATTCACTCCACAAGAGATAACACATGCTTGATACAATAAATCTGGCCAAGAACCTATGGTTGGGGAGCTCATAGGCTTCCAATTGAACCTGCTATTATTAGTTCTCTAAATGGACATTGTATCAACCTGCCCTCTGAAGTCATATTCCTGTGCTCTTAGTGAAGCACTCAGACCACAACAGAGATGTTTCTCTGTGCAGTAGATGGAAATTAACACAGAAACTCACACGTGGTCGAAGTGCAGACAATAAGTGGGACATCTGTGTTGGATTTCTTCCCCAAGTCTCAGGGCTGTCACAGATAACGTCAGAAAACGTGTAAGAGGACGAGAGAGACACCGTGTCTTCTGGACACGACAGGGCCATTGTGTTCGTGGACTCACAGCAGCTGTGGTTGTGTGCTCATGATCAAGCCAGTCAACATTCTGGCTTGGTGGCGGGGAGGGTGGGGGGGAGGATGAGCTCCCAGAACTGAGGAGCTATTGATAGCAGATGGGGGTGAGGGAGCCTCTGTTTCCTTCAGGGGTGTGGCCATTGTCAATAGTGCTCCAGCGGATGGCGCCACACCAAGGACTACCGGAGCAGCACAAGCTGGCTCAGTGAGTTACAACAGCCGGTCTCAACCTCTGGGTCATGACCCTTTTGGCAAACCTCCATCTCCAAAAACATTTACATTACAATTCGTAACAGTAGCAAAAGTACGGTTATGAAGTAGCAACAAAAAGTAATTTTGTGATCTGCTTGCCTCTGCCTCCTGAGTGCTGGGATTAAAGGCATGCACCACCACACCTTAAACATTGTATTTCCAATTATAAAATAGGTTCAAAATTGTATCTGTTCCATAGCCTAGAAGTACCTGCACCAATGGGTTATTGTGAAAATTTAATAAGATAATGATACAAATAAAGAGCATTCATGTATATAGTACTTTAAAATATGCATGCACACACACACACACACACACACACAGAGCTACACAGACACATGTAGACACACAGACCCCTATACAAACAGCATGGCTTTTAACCCTGCAGCTAGAAGGAAGGTTAGATGGAAAAATCTGGAAATTGTGCACATTTCATCTCTCTGAATGAGTCTGATAAACAGACATATTTGAGAATCACTGATCTTTTTTTTTTTTTTTTTTAATTTATTTTAATTTATTTTGCAATACAATTCAGTTCTACATATCGGTCACGGATTCCCTTGTTCTCCCCCCTCCCGTCCCCCTCACCTTCCCCCCAACGCCCCCCCCCCCCCATTCCCATCTCCTCCAGGGCAAAGCCTTCCCCACAGACTGAGGTCAACCTGGTAGACTCAGTCCAGGTAGGTCTAGTCCCCTCCTCCCAGGCCGAGCCAAACAATCCTGCATAGGCCCCAGGTTTCAAACAGCCAACTCATGCAATGAGCACAAGATCTGGTCCCACTGCCTGGATGAAAGGCGAGGGTCGAGGGAAAGAGAGCTTGGGGGAGCGGGAGATCCCAGCTGGATCAACAACAGAGAGGGAGAACAAGGAATAGGAGACCATGGTAAATAAAGACCACATGAGAACAGGAAGAAGCAAAGTGCTAGAGAGGCCCACAGAAATCCACAAAGATACCCACACAACAGACTGCCGGCAATGGTCGAGAGACAGCCCGAACTGACCTACTCTGGTGATGGGATGGCCAAACACCCTAATTGTTGTGCTAGAAACCTCATCCAACTACTGAGGGATCTGGATGCAGAGATCCATGACTAGGCCCTGGGTGGATCTCTGGGAGTCCAATTAACGAGAATGAGGAGGGTTTATATGACCGAGAATTGTTGAGACCAAGGTTGGATAAAGCACAGGGAGAATCACTGATCTTAAACATTTGTTATTGTTGATATTTTTTTTTTTAAATTTCCATCTGACTTTATTTCCAAATACACGTTCTTAAAAAAAAAAAAAAAAGAAAAAAAGAAAAAAAAGAAAACAATACATTTTCTGTGGGAATGACAAATATCAGTATTAGGAAATCCAATTATACAAAAAATACTACATCTAGTCTGGGGTAGATATATTTATTTTTGGTAACATACATCGAGTGGCACTAATTACACAGTAACTATAAGGTAACTAACATGAGACCACAGAACTGTAACTCTGCCACAGCTGTGTGGACTTGGGCCTTTCTGGCTGAGCAAGTTTTCAAAAAACTGGATGCCTTCCCCAGAGCTCTGCCAATGGGTCTGTTAAGGAGGAAAGCTCTGAAGTAGTGACTCACCAGAGTTCCTTGCAGCTGACAGATGAGAGGCAGGACATGTTAGTTATAAAGTAGTTACAGCCTAATTCACAAAAGTTACCAACTGTTTCTTTCTAGAAAGAAGCAAGAAGTTAAGAACTCCTTTGCCTTAGCGCCTGGTGTCAGGTGGAGAGCAGAGAGGGCTGTTAGAGCAGTGTCAGAAAGACCCTGGCTGGGCAGACAGGTCGGACATCATTAATAATCATGGCTGGCTTCTAAATACTGGTAGCAAGATGACTTCTGATTTGTAATCTTAGGTAAATTATAGATAAATGAAAAGGCCAGTAATCATACACTAAGATTAATAAACAGCACTTCAAAATTAACCGCATGAGGGCTGTGCTTGCACAAGGCTTCACAAAATGAGGCACCCAGATTTTTTCTTCCCACGTCTGGCTTGCAGAGCAGCTCTCGTGGCCATTTCAAAAACCTCTCTCACTCCATCTTTGGTCTTTGCTGAACACTCCATGTACCCAAAAGCGCCAATCCTGTTTGCCATATCTCTGCCTTCTTCAGGTTTTACCGGCTCCTGCTTCATTTTGGCTAACTCCCGTCTTGTGTGCTCATCATTCCGAAGATCCTTTTTGTTCCCAACCAGGATGATGGGCACATTGGGACAGAAATGCTTGACTTCAGGAGTCCATTTTTCTGGGATGTTTTCTAAACTATCAGGGCTGGAAATTCTCAGATGCAAGGCTCAAGGCGACGACTCCGAGTCCGGCCTCTTCGCGCTCAGGACGCCTGTCCACGAGTCCGCAAGCTCGGAGACGAGGACCGGCAGCTCCGCAGGAGACGGCGGTCTGAGGAGAGAACCGACGGAGGACCGCGGGCGGCGGGCGGGGAGCGCGAGCGAACGAGTATTGTTGATATTTTTAAACAGAGCTGATTTTTAACAAATAAGGATTCCCTTATAACTTCTCAGAGAAGGTGAGTCCAGAAACTTTTCCAGGAATCTCTTCCAAGGGATTCTCATTGTCCCTGAATTCCTTCTTAAGTTGTCTTCTTATATGATCCACTGAGCAGGAAGCCTTTACTCTTGTCTGCCCTGCAAGTTCAAGGACGTGTGACATGGAATCCCACTGCAATGGATATTTTATACTCGTACCGCAGTCTTGACTTTGAATTTCAAGTTAAGTCTCAGAAAATGCCTTGCTTATGTATACTGTCTGCATCTTAGTAGAGTGAATGTAGGGACACCTCCATTGGAATTTCCAGGAAAGGAAAGCTGGAAAGAGATTCAAGTGGGAGATTATAAACAAAAATCAATGACAGTCTACTCATTGTTGCTAAATTGGGTGGTAGAAAACATCACCGATTCTCTGGTTCTGTGGTTGGTTTGATTGATTTGGAACATGGGAAGAAATCTTCCAGAGAATCCTTCTTCCTTCCTTTGCCTTATGTAGTTCTCTGATGCAAATCTGGGCTCTTATCAGTTGGAAGTGATCATAAACCAACTCGTGTTAGCATTCAGGGGGCCAGTATGAGATTATATTTCAGTTTTTACAGTGGTTCAGGGATTAGTGTGTTCACCTGCTTTCCGCCATAGTTAGTTCTAGGGGATCACCACAAATCTTTAGCACCCACTTAATTTCAGTGTATCACATAGATCATGTTCCCCTTTACAGTTGGTTTCTTCTCAATCTGTCTTTAACTGTATCCTCTCAGCTTTGCTAATCCAGCTAGGAGAGGATTCTCTTGTCTCACAATTCAAGCAACAGTTGGAGGATGGGATCTCATCTGGATCATATGTCCATTCTTGACCTCACGTCATCTGCACAGTCAAGTACTATCACACAGTGATTCACTAGACCTGGGATGGCATGCCAGTCCCTCAAGGGATGGGATCGACCACATCCTAAGAACACCGGGAAGTCAGAGACTTGTGATTCCTACAATCCATTCGCCGCTTTCAGAAAGATTTAAATACTGCTTTCCCCAGCTTCCTCTCGATCAATTTATTCCTTTCTACTTGAATGACTTGACTTTCCAGATGAGCGTGTGGACAGCAGGCTACAGTGGAGACATTAGTTTTTTGAGAAGCCTGTGCCGACAGGTTCATATTTAACAGGAATCCATATAGTAGCTACCCAAGGCCTTGTCTCCAGAACAGACACTTCACGCAGTTGTTGAAAGCATTTTCTCTGTGGAAAAGCCTTTCCCTCTCACTCCTCCACTTCCTCCAGCAATCTGAACTTCAGGAATTAATGTGTTTCCTCGGGCTTCCTAATTCACAGCATCTTTGACTTTCTGAAGTATGCTCTAGAAATCACCACAGTAAAGGAGGTTTGTGAAATTGGGTTAAAAAAATGTTTTGCTGTTGTGCTTTGAAGATATTCATGTTTCCAGACCCATGAATAACATGATTTCCAATTTTGCTTCAAAAGATGTGTTCTCAGAGACTCAGTGACCCATCTCTTAAGACATCTTTCTGTGAGGCAGTGGTGAGCAGAGAGGTGACATGGCCATGCCTTTCTGGCTTTGAATGGTTCCATGTAAAAGGGAAACGCCTGCTGGTTGTTCTGCATGCAACCTTGCACTTGGTACCAAGACTGAACATACACCCAATAGAATTCAGCTCTGTGTTGATGGATGCTGGGACTTAGGAGGGAATGGATAATGTATAGGGACAAGTGTGGTGGCTTGAATGAGAATGGACCCTATAGGCTCATATATTTGAATGTTTGGTTCCCAGTTGGTGGACTGTTTAGGAAGGATTAGGAGGTATGGCATGTAGAGACCCACAGTAGTTTCCTAGTGAGAACTTACTCAGGGTCTGACAATCGGAGCTTGCTTTACCCAGCAGGGCTGCATAAGGGGATGATTTGACCACAGGCGTGGTTACCAGGTGTTTGGAAGGGTCTACACTTGGCTGTGCGGTGTGCTTTGATATAGCAAGGGGGAGGTCTTTTGCCCTGCCCCTTGACATTGTTATAGAAAGCCCTTTGAAGAGGCAGAATGGGCCAGTGGGTTTTGATCCAGGTCCTCCCAAAGCTATCCTGTGTTTCTGTCTGTCTCCTTTCCGCTATCTTTCTATCTAAAAGTTTCTTATTCCTCTCTCCTCTCATAGGAACCCTTTAAAAGGTGGGAGCTGGCCTCTCACAATGGCCTTGTTGAAGAAGGTATGTCACTGGGAGTGGGCTTTGAGGTTCCAAAAGCCTGCGCTAGGCCCAGTCTTGCTCTCTCTGCTATATGCTTAGGGATCAGATGTAAGTTCTTAGCTGCTTCTTCGGTGCCATGCCTGCCTGCCTGTTACCAGGCGTCCTGCTATGACGGTATTGGACTCACCCTCTGAAACTGTAAGCAAGCCCCCAATCAGATGCTTTCTTTAATAAGTTGCCTTGGTCATGGTGTCTCTTCACAGCACTAGAGCACTAAGGCAGTGGACAGCAGACACTTTGAATAGTAAACGTATCCTGTGCTTGGAAGTCGGACTTTGCAGAATCTCCTTACAGGACAATTTGTCGATAATTATGACGTTTCAAATACAATACCCATAAAGGGTCAGTGAGATGCTGTCAAGCCTGGTGACCTGAGTCTGATCCTTGAGACCCACACGGTGGGAGAAGAAAAATGACTTCCTAAAGTTGTCCTCTCACTCCAACACTTGTGCTGTGGCATAGAAAGCCCCCCCCACAAATAAATACATAAATGATTTTTAATTTATAAAGATTTAATACAATACCACGAAGACTTAATATATAATGATCTGCAATTGAATAAAGAAATTCTAAGTATGATATAAAACCTTTAATTTCAAAAAGTGCTAAACTATTTAAAAAAACCAACCTCTTTTTTCTGCATGATGAAACAAATAACAGAGGCAGAGGACAAATGGCAAATTGTAATTTATAATTCACATAAAACCTCCACAAATCAATGAGAATGAGAATAGCAAACAAATAAAGATAAAGAATCTAGTCAGATCACAAAGAATTATAAATTGATTTTAAACATATTAAATATGATGATTACCCATCAGTAGATATGCTTAGATTAAAATACCATTTAACCCGCCAGACTAATAAAGATAAGAAAATTTCTTAGTATATTACATGTGTCTGGTAAGGGGACATGTTAGGAAACAGTCACTCATACATCCTGTTAGGGATGTAAATAGATAAATTTATTTGAAATCTATCTACCTTTTGTGTAAATAGTTTTATTTCTAGACATGTGTCTTCCTTTGGGCCTGTTTGTAGTTTTGCCAAATGATGTGTACATGTGGTTTACATTGTCTGACCTTGCTGAAGACTCCAGTGATCCAAAAATCTGAGAAAGAGGGATCCCTCAAGTATGTGTGAGCCTTGACAAACACTGCCCTGCTGGAATAGAGAAGCATTTCCCCATGTGCTGACATGTAGCCATGGCCACAATACAGGGTGTGGATGAGAAAAAGGGGAGTGTTGACCCGAGCATCATGTTTCTAGGTGTGGATTAGACCAGTGGATACCCGAAGTCCCTGGCAGGAATGGGAATTGAGTGGCTTTCAGACGATTATATTCAAGAGGGTTACTTTTTTTCTAAATACTCATGCAACTTTTATATCTGTAACTTGAGAATGTACTCATTTTTTCAGAATGCAATAGTGTTTTAAATGTAATAAAAAACACCTATGGATTAATCTACCACTTCTATTACTGGAGATCCATCCAGTTTATAAAAGGAAAACACACTGGTAGCACAAATAAACAGAGTCCCTCCTGTGGTTGTATGGAATATGGAATATTTTCTAAGACAAACTGCAATAAAATGAAAAGTGAGGTTGGGCATGGTGGCATGTGCCTTTAATCCCAGCATTCAGGAAAGAGAGGCAGGTGGATTTCTATGAGTTCGGGGCTAGCCTGATCTACAAAGCAAGTCCTAGGACAGCCAAGGCTATACAGAGAAACCCTATCTTGAAAAACAAAACAAAACAGAAAACAGAACAGAACAAAGGGGGGGAAAAAAGGAAAAATGTTGATGGGCATGGTGGTGCTTGCCTTTAATTCCAACCCTTGGGAGGCAAAGGCAGGTGGATTTTTGTGAGTCTGAAGCCAACTTGGGCTACAAAGTAAGACGCTGCCTCAAAACTAAATTTAATTAATTAATTAGCTAAAATAAAACACAAAATAAAAGCCAAGGCCAGCAAGATGGCTCACTGAGTAAAATCACATAATATTGTGTGGGCCTCACCACTTGAGTTTGATACCAGAAGCCCCAGTGAAAGGAGAAATTCACTTTCAAAACCTGGTCTCCGGTGTCTACACTTGTCATAGCCTGTCTGTGTCCACACTCACACATATTATACACCAAAACACAATAATTTTTAAAATTAAAAAATAAAGATAAAAAAGAGCAAAAGTAAATTCTAGAAAAAATTATATGTTTTGTGTAATTTGTGGCAAAAAAGAAATATAAATATTAACGCAATTAACATTCCATATATATAGTACTTGCATATGCATAGGACATTCATGCATGTAGAAAGACAGGGCAATAATATGGGACAGGAAGTCTGTAGTTAATGGGTATGACAAAACTTATTTTGCATTGTAACCCTTTATATACCTTATTGTTACGGTTAAAGATGTATAATGTCTCCACAAGCTGATTGTGATTGAACACTTGGTCCCCACCTGGTGGCATTATCTTGGGGGTTCATTATCTTTGAGAGGTGAGGCCCAGTGAGAAAACTTGTGGGTAAACCTTGAGATCTGTAGCTCTGCCTACTTCCTGTCTTGCTGTGGGAAGTCTTTCTGTATGCCATGAATATGTGTTGCTCTGATTGGTTGATAAATAAAGCTGCATTGGTCTATGGAAAGGCAGCTAGGAGGAAGGTAGGAAGTCTAAGCAGATATATGGAGAAAAGAAAGGAGAGGAGGGAGAGATGCCAGCCCACAGCCCAAGGAGCAACATCCCAGAAGACTGGTAATGCCATGGCCACATGGCAATACATAGATTAACAGAAATACGTTAATTTAAGATATAACATCTAGCTAGCAAGAAGCCTGCCATAGGCCATACAGTTGATAATTAATATTAAGCCTCTAAATGATTATTTTATAAGTGGCTGAGGGACCGCAGGGCTGGGCAGGACTTGAGAAAACTTATGGCTACACCGTCTCCACTCTGCTTTGTGATATTTCCAGCTGTTGCAGCCTTGACTTCCTGCTTCAACAGCTGGAGCTGCTCCTGCCACAACATATTTCCTGTCCCTGCCCTGATGTCCTGTACTCCCAAACTGGGCTAAAATAAACCTCTCCATTAAGTAGCTTCTGGTCAGGTATTTGGTCATAGCAAGGAGAAAAGTAATTAATATACTCATGCATTAATATACTCATGCATTTTAAATTCTGGTGTCCAGATAATAATATTCCAACAGAAGGGAAAGCATAAAGACAGGGATAAACATGTAGCTTGGCCGGGCTGTGATCAGCTTAGTTGACCTTCTGGATGAGGAGAACCATGCCAGTTAAAACTGGATTAAAGGAAGAGCCAAGCTCATGGTGTGTGGAGTTGGAGTCCCAGAGACACATTTGGATCCTCTGTAATCCCAGAATGACCCAACAGACAGAAAAGGCAATGGCAGAAGATCGATGGCTTCGTATTTTGAGCAATAATAGTCTTATTTTAGAGAAGCTATTCAGTTTTAACATCTAGTGTTCATAGGGAATGTTGGATTTTTATAGCCTTCCAAGGAATTTGGCAGACACAAAAAGGGAAATGTTGACTTTTACATGTTGCCCATTATGCAAAATTCTGAACTATTCAGAACACAAGGGAAGCATGCTACAAGCACAGTGACCTTAAAACGTTCACAGACAGATGCATCAGAGTCCATTTCTCATTGCTGATGTCCTTGGTCAGCGGGTGGGCGCACAGCTGGCTAAATGCCTTGCAGCAGCCAACCTAGGGATGCACGTTAGCTTCTGATTTAAAGGGAAGGGAGGGAGGGGCAGGCAGACACTGCTGAGTTGGTACACTGCCTTATAAGCATGAGGCTGTGAGTTCAGATCTCCAGCATCCATGTAAAAAGAAAAGCCAGGCATGGTGGTGGTCATTTATAACCTCAGCTCTGTGGGAGTGCATACAGGCAGCTCCCTGAAGCCCACTGGCCAGCCAGCCTAGCAGGTCAGTGAGTTTAAACTCTACCGAGAGGCTATACCTAAAAAAATACCGTGGACACTGTCAAGAAAGGATGTTGCGGAGCGGTGGTGGCACACGCCTTTAATCCCAGTACTCAGGGAGGCAGAGCCAAGCGGATCTCTGAGTTCGAGGTCAGCCTGGTCTATAGATCGAGATCCAGGACAGGCACCAAAACAACACAGAGAAACCGTGTCTCGAAAAACAAAAAACAAAAAACAAAAAACAAAAAAAAAACAAAAAAAGAAAGGATGTCATCCTCTGGCCTGACACAGATGTCAGCCTCTGGTCTCTACATACATGTGTATGTGCACATACCTATATAATATATGCATGCACTCATTCAGGCACAGAATGGGTGGGGAGTGACCTATGGTGGAAAGTGAGACATGAGACATGTTATTTGGGGTCAGGAGGTCAACAGGGAGGCCTGGAAAATAGGCGTAGTGAAGCCAGTCACCCATCCCAATGAGTACTCATACCTCTTAGCCACAGTGACTATCATGTGGGGCACATGTGTGTGACCTGGTGGCTTACAATAGAATAAGGCCTGGGATCAGAGGGAGGCACTCTGGGACGTAATTTCTCAATGGATTGGAGTGAGCCTGGGAGTGAGGCCATACACTCAGCAACAGCACACGCCCAATCAACATGGAAACTGAGCCCAAGGAAACGATGTAATCACTGAACCTGCCAGACCCAAAGTCACAGCTAACCCACCGTTTTGACAACCAGAGTCTCTGAAACACAATCCCTCCCTTTCCAGCCATCTCTGTAACACAAGCCAGCTTGTGTTTTCTGCTGTGGTCAATGAGAACCCTGACTGACATATCTGTGGTGGTGATGATAATAGTGATGAACTAGACATGTCCTTCCTCTTTCCAAATATTTTCACCCTCAGTGGCTGATTAGTTCTCCTGACAATCCTATGGGGAATCAGGAGTGTGACTCATACTAAGGAAACCAAGGCTCACAGAGGTTTGGTGACTAACTTAGGGGCTGTAGTTGGTAGAGAAAGAGTCCACTCTGAAACTCAGGACCGTGAATTTCATGGTCTCTGCAGCATCTTTCAAAAGTGTCCGGCATGATGTTGGGGTCCTTGGCTTCTATTCTCGCACTCATGACTGGGCCGTTTGCTCAAAGGACTTATCACCTTCTCTGAAGATATGCCCTGGAGGATCCTTCAGACTCAGTCACTGTGTGAGGAGCTGGCCCAGAGGAACAGTAGATAAAGGAAGCTCAAAGGATCTCACGTTAATGGAAAGCAAGAGGCTCCTCTGTCCCCAAATCCTGCCAGAGCACAACGTATTGGCGGCTAGAAATAGGCCAGCCTGAGTAAGGAAGGCGCCAAGAGGTGAGGCCGATCTGTGACTGCTGGGGAGGACGTAGGGGAGGGAAGCACAGACAGTGACATTTCCGTTTCTGGTGGCCCCATTGCTGTGTGTAACAGGCTCAGCCCAGTGTCCTCTACCACCCCCTGCCTGCCCCCACCACCTGCCTCATGTTTGACAACTGCAGTTTATATGCAAGTAGAATAGACATAGTAATGTGTGATAAATGGGAGAGGTGTCAGGTATTGAAACATTATGGGAACCAGGAGATAGACGCCATTTGGTGTGTTACTGGAAAATACAGTCCCCGGTTGACATTCACAGTCAACATGCAGACCAAAGTCCTTCAACACCAACCTGATTCCAACAGTGAGGTTAGACATGTCTAAGGGGCAATTGCAGCAGCTAACCTGTTCTATAATTAAGACTTGTTTTTTCTCTTAAAGGATCACCCTCATTCTTCAAGACGTTCTCAAGTTACTGCTCTCTTAAAATATATTCAATAAACTGTTTTGTTTTTTGTTTTTTTTTTTACAATAAAGAATCGCCATCTACTACCCACAAGGGAATTCTCATTGGCTCAGTCTGTCCTGCCTCCTGGAGAGTGGCAGGTCCTCGGGGAGGGTGAGTTCCTGCTAGCCCCTCCTCTGAGCTAACCTCTCTCCTTCCCGTGTACTGCTTTTCCCTCTTAGGGCCTGGCAGGTAGTTTCTCATGCTGAACTTAATCAGATCACTATGTAATTACAGAGGGACTGTCAGGATATTTTTGGTTGTCATCTTCTAACAAAATGCAGATTGCATGGCATGTATACATAGAATTACTCTATAATTTAAAGTAAATTGACATTTAATTTCAATTTAATTACACAGGAATTACAGACATGACAGATAGAGTCTAATTAGGAAGAAAGTATGAGAATCTGTTTATGGAGTAAAAAAATCCATCTCATGTCACCCTTTTAACAGAATCAAAATAATTCTCTGAATTTTTGTAGAGTGTGTATAATAACAACAGTAATAACGAAAACGGCATTTGGGCCATTCATCATTTGTACATATACTAGCTCAGTGGAACTAGCTGTGACTCTGCGAAGTGTTCGGTGATCATTCCCATGTTACCGATGGGAAAATTGTCATTGGATGAAATGAGTGATGTGCACAGTGTCACACAGATAGAATGGGGTCAAGATAAGGTTTAGAATCAGCAACACTGGACCTTAAGCTCATTTTCACGCATTCCCCCCTCATAGGAAGCAAAGGAGCATGGGATGAAATTCCGGGCCTTCTCAGAGGCCTGAACTCTTCTGATCAACAGCCTGGAAAATTGGACTTTTTTCTCCATCCCCTTCTCTCTCTGTCTCCTTTTTTTCCTCTTGTTTTTCTTCATTTAACAAATGTGTATACTGATGGACCCCACTTGGTGGTATCACTCTGAATGTTGGGAGTTAAGGGCTAGGGAAAGCTTTGCCTCCTTCCTCACAGGATATTTGTGTGAAGGGTGAATGTGGGCACAGACGTGTTGGTTAGCGGACAGTTTTCTGGAGCGGTCAATGTTGTGCGATATTTTGTTTGTGTTCTGACAAAGCTTGCCTGGAAATCAGAGGGCAGAGCTAGCCACTAGTTAACCACTGAGGCAAGGCAGGAGTGGCACACACTTTTGATCCCAGTGCTTGGGAAGAGTAAGCAGGAAGATCAGGAGTTCAAGGCCACCCTGGGCTACACGAGATTGAACCAGTCTAAAAGAGGAACATAGCCGGGCGGGCGGTGGTGATGCACACCTTTATTCCCAGCAGTTGGCGGTGCACGCCTTTATTCCCAGCAGTTGGCGGTGCACGCCTTTATTCCCAGCAGTTGGCGGTGCACGCCTTTATTCCCAGCAGTTGGCGGTGCACGCCTTTATTCCCAGCAGTTGGTGGTGCACGCCTTTATTCCCAGCAGTTGGTGATGCACGCCTTTAATCCCAGCAGTTGGTGGTGCACGCCTTTAATCCCAGCACATGGGAGGCTCAAGCCTTTAATCCCAGCACTAGGGAGGTAGAGACAGGAATATGAGGCACGTGGAGACAGGATCTCCCCCATTCAGTCTGAGAATTGGTAGAGACAGGATCGCCCCTTTTGGCCGCTCCTTTACTTCTCTGATCTTTCAGCGTTTACCCCAATATCTGACTCCGGGTTTTTATTATTAAGACTAATTAGGATTCGTGCTACAGGTCAAGGCTTCTCATCTCTGCCACCACTCTGTATCTCCAGGGAGCTGCTCCACAAACTCCTGTCTCCCTGTAGAAATGCTGGGATCACAGATTCAAGCCATTGCATCCGGCTTTTGTATAGGTCCATGGGATCTGAACTCAGGTTATTAGCTATGTTCAGCAAGTGCTTTATCTCCCACTCAGTAGCTTGGGTGTGTAACAGGTCCCTGAATCTAGTTGTACAAGTACTGAGCTACCAGGATCCAATCTCACGGGGAGGGCTTTTGTAGGGTCTTTGCCCTCAGGAGTGCCTTGCCCTGACTCATGGAGCTATCCTTTGGGTTGTCCAATTAAACGGAAAGCAAAGCAAAGTTTCTCTCTCTCTCTCTCTCTCTCTCTCTCTCTCTCTCTCTCTCTCTCTCTCTCTCTCTCTCACACACACACACACACACACACCACACTTTCTTTTTTCTTTCCTTTTTCACATCACAAGAGATGCCGACTGGGTGACTTCCTGCTGCTATTCCATAGACCAAGCCTCCTACCCATTTCCAATGAGAACAGTGTGTGTGTGTGTGTGTGTGTGTGTGTGTGTGTGTGTGTGTGTGTGTGTGTAATTCATCTAAGTTCTTTCAATCTGAAGTTTCATTCCTTCCATTTTCCATCCTTTCCATCTCTCAGATAAAATCCCTTCCAGGAGTGCAGTACTTTACAGAGAGGCTTTCTCTTCAGCCACTCACTCCATCACTACATACAACTCTGAAGAAGGTGTGCTAACATTTACACAGGAGCAAACAGAGAGCCAGAGATGTGTGCCATACTCATCACTTTGCCTTGTCCAGGATTTGTTTCTTCTAAGATCAAGGCCCACTTCTGTCTCAGGACATCTTTTTCTGAAATTCCCTTTTTCGCCCCCTTCCTCTTTTAAATCTCAATTTTAAAAATTATACAACGTCTCTATAACTGATTCTTCAAGTGGATTTAATGGAAACAGCTGAGCACATTTATTTTACTTTGTGTGTGTGTGTGTGTGTGTGTGTGTGTGTGTGTGTGTGTGTGTGTCACACACACAGGGGGCATGCGAAGGTCAGAGGACAACTTTCTAGAGTCAGTTCTCTCCTTCCACTGTGGGTTCCTGGGATCGAACTCAGGCCGTATCAGGCTTGCACAGCGTCTCCTTTACCCACGGAGCCATCTTGTGGCCCCCCACACATTTGTTTTAAAGAAGTAACTTTACAACATCATCTCAGCCGCACACCCTGCATGACCTCGTAGGAAGACATGGTAAATGTAAATCCAAACATCGCAGAGTGGAGACGTCCTCATGAGATCAGAGCTGGGCTACTGCGGCTTGCAGAAGGTTCCTCGCCCGATGGCAGCTCTTTGTAAGAAGAGCGAGAGGCCTGCTAAATGTCTGTAAACACCAAGTCGACCTGCTCCTTATTGTGATTGGCAGTTCGAGAGGGAATTGAAAGTGGATCGCGATTTTTTCTCTGCCTTCAGTGGTTTTTGAGGCTGTTCATACCGTACTCAAACCATGTGAAATTGCACTGTAGGACACAGTGCTCTGACCGGCTCACTGTATTTCCCATGAACTTGACTTTCCCTGTACCTACAAAGAATGAGCATAGGTCCCCCTGTGTCCTTGAGGTTTCACGAACTTGACATTCAGCACAAGGACAGCACTAGCCCGACAGCACCCCAGGTTGGAGTTGGGGACCTAGTCTTTCTGGGCCTCTCCTCAGCCAATGGCAGCCAGATGGCCAAGGTGCTGATGTTCACTCCTCCATTCATGCTGGAAACTTTATGGAGTCCTGTCCTGTGTGCTACAGAAAAATAAGTTCCACACAAAAGCAAATATAAACTCAAGCATAACCCTCCTGGGTTTAAGAAACCTGGGCAAGACAACTTAACCTCCCCAGACTCACATTCCTGCTTCCTTCCCATCGACTCCAAGGATCTGATACTGTTTGCTTATGAAAAATCAAGTTCCCTATGCTAAGAAATGGGACATTTTGAGAAGGACATTAACTGTCTCCTTGAAAACACATCTTGATGACATGTAAATGATGATGTAAATGAATCCAACCCAATGGATTAATCAAATCATTAACATATCAATCATTAACGAGTGAGTATGATACAAAAAAAATCAAATGAAATTGCTCCTGCAGGTCGATGAGAAATTCATCTATTACCCTGTCTTAAATCTTTTCTTTTTTTCTGGAACAAAACAGGATATAAATAAACATAAACATAATAAAACAACAACAAGACTGTCTGTCATTGTAATTTCCTGTTTTAAAGTAGAGGAGAGATGTACTGGAAAAGATACTTCTGTTTATTCATTCAGCTTGAACCCACCCTGAGAGTTCTACATAGCTAATACACGGCCACAATTGCAGTTCCTGGGACCCTTACACCTTGTTCAATTGCTTTCTCAGCCTTAAGAAAATGAAATCTAGGAGGAAGCCAGCCACTTCTAAAACCACACTTAGAATTCATCTTCAGTCTGCAGCAGATAAAAATCAAAGAACGTCGCTTTACCTTTGCCTCGTCGTGGGTTTATAAAGACTACACACACAACAAATCTGAACATGCGA